ATGCTTTAAGACTGGTGGACTTCAACTCCCAGAATTCCCCTTGTGGGTATGCTTTAAGACTGGTGGACTTCAACTCCCAGAATTCCCCTTCCGGTATGCTTTAAGACAGGTGGACTTCAACTCCCAGAATTCCCCAGCCAGCAGGCTTTAAGGGGGTGGACTTCAACTCCCAGAATCCCCCTTGTGGGTATGCTTTAAGACTGGTGGACTTCAACTCCCAGAATTCCCCTTCCGGTATGCATTAAGACAGGTGAACCCACTGCCAGGATTCCCTAGCCAGCATGCTTTAGGACGTACTGGCTGGGGAATTCTGGGAGTTGAAGTCCACAAATCTCCCCTTCCCCTTCTCCTTTGGTCCTTTCGGTGGTCTTGGCTCCTAGCGAGACTCGGGTTGGGGTCCTCACCTCTCATCCAGCGACTTCTACCACGCAGGTCCAGGTGCTGGTGCTGAACTGGGGCGCCTGGCTCTTGAGGATGCGCCAACCGGGAGAAGAGCCCCAGGGGCGCCCCCCCTGCGCCCCCAGTTTGCTGAGCTGCAGCTCAGACAACAGTGACGGAGGAGGGAGCCCAACCACTCGCCCGGCTGGGCCCGTCGCCAACGGCCACCTGGTCTACGCGGGGATCCCCATTGCTGCCGTCGCTCCGGCCCCCTTCCCCGCCAAACCGCCCGACGTGCCCCGCCCCTTCCTCTTCTCCCCGGAGCCTCCGTCCTTCGTCTCGGAAGACCCTCTCTCTGCCCCCCACCTGAGCTCCATCCTGAAGGAGCTGAGATACGTGGCTCAACGCTTCCACAGCCAAGACGCCTCCCGGGCCGCCTGCAACCAGTGGAAGTTCGCCGGGGCCGTCATCGACCGACTTTGCCTGGTCCTCTTCGCCCTCTTCCACATCGTCTGCTCCATCGGCATCCTCATGGCGGCCCCCAACTTCGCCGAGGCCATCACCAAGGACTTCCTCTGACGCTCCGGAGCTCCCGGCCTTCCGAGGACCTCCCCGAGAGGGTGGGAAGGGACACCCCTGGAGGGAGAAGGACGGAGACCTTCCTCCTGGGCATGCCGACGACTTGCGGTTCTCGTGGTGGGCGGTAAAGTGTGCATGCAATAGTTGCGACGCTCCTCCCGGGATGGAGGTCCTCGTTGGCCAGGGGAGGACAGCAGGGCGGTGGTCGCCTTGGAGTGGTTCTCCTCCGAATCCCTCAACCCTCGGGATCACGTGGGACGTTCAGACTCCAGAACGCTCGGAGGAAGAAACGCTGGTGGAGGACGAGAACGTTCAGACGTCGGAGTGTTCGGCCTCCTACTGGACCACGAGGCGAGGGGGCTTCCAGGCCTACAAAATCCTACCCCAGAGGGAGCTGGTTTTGGGGTCTGCGTTCCCCCATGCCTCCATCCTCTCTCTCCCTCTCCTCTCTCTCTTTCTCTTCTCTCTCTGTCTCTTTCTCCTCTCTCTCTCTCCTCTTTCTCTTCTCTGTCTCTCTCCTTCCCTCTCCTTCTCTTCTCTCTCCTCTCTTTCTCCTCTCTCTCTGTCTCTCTCCCTCCCTCTCCTCTCTCCTCTTTCTCCCCTCTCTGTCTCTCTCTCTCCCTCCCTCCCTTCTCTCTCCTCTTTCTCCTGTCTCTCTCCCTCCCTCTCTCTTCTCTCTCCTCTTTCTCCCCTCTCTCTCTGTCTCTCTCCGTCCCTCTCTTCTCTTTCTCTTCTCTCTCCTTTCTCCTCTCTCTCTCTTCTCTCTCCTCTCTTTCTCCCCTCTCTCTCTGTCTCTCTCCCTCCCTCTCTTCTCTCTTTCTTTTCTCTCCTCTTTCTCCCCTCTCTCTGTCTCTCTCCCTCCCTCTCTTCTCTNTATCTAATCATCTCTATATCTACTTACCTACCTACCATCCATCCATCTCTCTCTCTTCCTCCCTCCCTCCCTCCCTCTCTAATCCTTGATTTCCCCAAACTTAAAAGACCAACTTGATCTCTTGCTTTCGGGATAGTTCAACTTGGAAAAAGAGCTCCCAGAAGCTCCAAAAAACGGTTCTGAACTTCCACGCAGGATTTTCCCATTTGGTCATTCAGCGAACGCGGCATTCATAAAACAAACACAGCAGTCATTAAGCGAACTCCACTGTCATTAAACAAACCAACGGGGTGAGGGTTTGTTTGTTTTTAACCCCCCCAAAAAACCCCTGAAAGGAACTGCTAGTTTTCAGCGAACCCCCCCCCTCTCCATCCCGCAGGTGTCCCCGGCAGCGAGAACCGAGTTTACTACGACTGTTGCCGGGAGCCGTACCTGGATGTCACCTTTGTTGTGATTATGCGCCGCCGGACGCTCTACTACGCCCTGAACATGCTGGTGCCTTGCTTGCTCCTTTCGGCCGTGACGTTTCTGGTTTTCCTCCTGCCCGCTGATTCCGGGGAGAAGATTTCTCTGGGTAAAACTCATGGGGCACCAAGAGGTTTGTGTGTGCAGCCGGGCGAGGGGGAGCGAGAGAGTTGAACCGGCGGGCGAAGATTTGAGGTTGTTGTTGTTGTTGTTATTGTTATTGGTGGTTGTTATTGTTATTTTGCAGGTAGAAAGTTAGAGGCAGAAAACCTTTTGGTCTGTGAAACCAAGCACCATAAAACAGAATATATTTTTGTTGTTTTATTATATTATTATATATATTGTATAGAGCAGTGTTTCTCAACCTTGGCAACTTTAAGTCCTGTGGACTTCAACTCCCAGAATTCCTGAGCTGGCATGGCCCAAACATGGCCGACTAAGGAATTCTGGGAGTTGAAGTCCACGAGTCTTAAAGTTACCCAGTTTGCAGACCAAACGTGGCCGGCTGAGGAATTCTGGGAGTTGAAGTCCACAAGTCTTAAAGTTACCCAGTTTGCAGACCGAACGTGGCCGGCTGAGGAATTCTGGGAGTTGAAGTCCACAAGTCTTAAAGTTACCCAGTTTGCAGACCGAACGTGGCCGGCTGAGGAATTCTGGGAGTTGAAGTCCACAAGTCTCAAAGTTACCCAGTTTGCAGACCGAACGTGGCCGGCTGAGGAATTCTGGGAGTTGAAGTCCACAAGTCAGAAAAGGGTGATAATTAATTCTGGTCGACGAGGACAAATAAATAAATAAATATCCCTTTCTTTGTGTGCCGAAAAACTGGTCTCAATCTAACCGATTCGGAGGCCAGTCTAAAAACTCTCCCCATTCTGTAGGTGGGAAGACTGAGGCAGAGGCAGGGGGGGGCTGGCTGGGGCTCCCTCTTCAAGGAAAGCTCCGTGGGGCCAGCCCCCACCCCCTAATCTTTTTTTGGGGGGGTCTCCTT